ACATTGAAAATTATGTCGGAAAAAATTTATTAAAATAACAAACTCGTCTGTTGTTCTTTTATCATTTCAAATCAAAATAACACTATTCACTTAGACATATTTTCAATAAAAATATGTTATTTCCTTTCACAAAATATTATATAAAAATACTACTAATTTAAACAAAATTTCAAATCAACATTCCATTTCAAATAAATTTCAAATCTTAAAAAACAAAGCATGCTCCAATCTCGTAATTGAGAATAAATAATATATAATAATACCTCCGTCATCGAAATTTATGACCATTTAATCAGGTGTGTAAAAATATATTTCTTTTTAGAGTTAAAAAATATAAAAGAATTGTATTCTTTTACTTATATATTTTTATTATAGTAACAACAAAAAAATAATAATAAATATAAGTTTGAATGATAAACGAGTAATATTTTTTCATCGAACAATTTTTACAAAACAATAAATCAAAAAGTTTTAACCGGATAAAGTACATCAAATAACTACCCTCACGGTTGTTAACTCTCATAAAATAAACAATAACTTGTCCCATAAGGAATGACCTAGTGATGTGGGACAAATTCGTGATCGTGAGATTGTAAGTTTAACCCCTGACGCTTCTAGGTAACTTGCTTTGTCGGACCGAATAACGGCCGCAGATTCCTATATTATAAAAACACTTTGTTAATGGTGCAATATTTCTATAATATAAAATAATTAATTATACTTAATTTTTAACTTACGTTTTATTCCGTCACATCATTCAAATAAAAAAATTAAAATATACAATTCTCTCTCTATCACATAACCTAATTTCTTAATTATCTAATTTAATACTTTCTGCCTAAAATCTCTTGCCGATTCCAAATGTTATTCCTTGTTTAAAACTGAGGAAGTATAATATAAAATGAAATTACATCATCAAATATTCAAATTTTATAATGCTTGTCATTTTTGTCTGTATAAGTACAAAGTATATATTTTATTTTTAGTAAATTTGATTATATTATATATTATAATTACTCTCAAACTTATGTAATATTTATTTATCTTAATATTATTAAATCAAACTATAACATAAATATATAATAATGTTTATATAAAATACCCCCAAAACTATCATTAACTATAATATTTGTAAATCTCGAGTGAAAAAAAGTAAATATTTAACTATATATTGATTGGATGGAGTAAGTAATGGTTCCGTTCATCCTAATTTTTTTAGATGAAATAATTTTTGTTATGCGATATGAGAAATTGTGTTAAAGATATGAAATATATTATTTAAATTAAATGTTTAATTTTTTGATTTTTTGTAATGAGTATTTGAAATTTTTTTTTTAACTGTTGTATAAAATATTTTGTATTTTTTATTATTTTTTTGAGAATTGCAATTCAAAAATCGCGCCGGAGAACAGAGCCATTATATATGACTTGAGAGTTAATTTTCTAAGTTTTCTATATATATATATATTTGGATGACGTGGAAATCCGCAGTCGCTATCCGAAAGTGCAGAGTAAACTCCCGGCCAAACCTAATACCTTGTAAACCAGGCCCCGGAAGTTTTTTATATTTAATTGCTATTGTGATATCTAAAGGAATGTTTACATAGACTTGAAATACTACTATGATATCTAAAGGAAATTCCTTAAATTCCTTATCTAGTTTGGCATTGACCTTATTTGGGCATATTCTTTTTATTTTTTTAAGTATCAACTACAGTATTTCACAAAAAAATTAATTTATCATTTATTATTTAAAAAAATAAATTAAAAAAATATATGTATGTGTGTTGATAAGTTTGTGTGGATGTTTGTTTTTTAATTGTGCTTGGACGCCTGCCATGACCAAGTCAAGATAAGCATATCTAATTTTAGAACAATAATGGAAGATATATAGTTATTAAATACAGGATAAACTGTTTTTTTAGTCCAGTAACTGAACCCTTTATCAGTTTAGTCCAGTATGTAAAGTATGTTGCAAACTAGTTTTTTAAGTGAAAACTTTTCGTTGTTTTAGTCCTACTACGTCGGAGACGCGCACGTGGCTCGCCGGAAACTACATGTTCGTCAGGTGTCTCGCCTGGTCAGCAACATCCGGCGGACACGTGGATTTTATTTTATTTTTTAAATTTAATTTTTTTTTTCAATTGAACCAAATAAAAAAAATTAAAAAAGGCAAATAAAATTTTAAAAAATTAGAAAAATGAAAAAAAAATAATAAAATCTATGTGTCTGTCAAGTGTCGCTGACTTGGCAGATAGCCTCCAGCGAGCCATGTGGGCGTCTCCGGCACCGGATGACTAAAATAACAAAAAAATTTCACTTATGAAACTAGTTTACGACAAGCTCCATTTACTAAACTAAAATGATAAAGGGTACTTACGGACTAAAAAATTAATCTGCCCTTAAATTTATTATAAAAAATAAATGAGTGTGTTTGGTTTTTCTTTTTTTTTTTTTATCTAAATTTAATTTTTTTTTAATAGTATTGTGATATAATATCTTGTAAAAATTAAAATACACCCTCATTGAGTTTTTGTAATAGAAAAAAAAAAAATTTATGGGTTATTTAATGTATGTAAGATAATTTTGATATTTTTATCTTTTATACTTATATATATATATGTATAATGCTATTTTTGCAAAATATATAAAATTAAAAATGTTTTGATATTAGTGTGTAAAATTTATGTTTGAAATTGAAAACAAGCAAACCTTTTTTTTTTTTTTTCTATTTTTTTTTATTTAAAATATATATCAAACATATATTTATATTACATCAAAATAACTATTGCAATTCAAACTCATTTCTCTTTTAAATTGGTGATGATTACTTTTTAATACTCCATTATGTACGACAATCAATTTTAACCTATTTTGTAGTGAGATCAAAATTGATGCACTGAGGGAATATAATGCTATATAATACTCTCTTCGTCCCAAAATTACAGTTTGGGTTGTATTTGACACGAGATATAAAGAATATTGATATTTTATTGATAGTGGGTAAAAAATACGGGTAAAAGACTTTTTTGCCTTTGTGAATGTATTAGTGTAAAAAGTAATGACAATTGTGTAATAATAATGAAAAAGTAAGGATAATTTTATAATGATATAGTTATTTATGAAAATGAGACTATTGTTTTGTGACGGACAAAAATAATAAACAAGACTATTGTATTGGGACGGAGGGAGTAATACGCTTTGTTTGGTTGTTATTTGAAATCGATTTTAAATGAAATATTGATTTTGATTTTTGTTAAATAGTATTTTGATATAATATTTTAAAATAAAAATAAAATAATTTAATTGAAAGAGGAAATATAATATGTTTGTTTAGTGAAATTATTTGAATAAATATATATATTTCCTCTGTCTCATAATTACTTATTTATTTAGTTTTTTTATGTTAATCTTTGAATATTAATTATTATATTAAAATGTATTACAAATCAAGTAAAAATGGCAAAAATATTTTTATTAGTATTTTATAATACTAATACAGTGATATTTGTATAAAAAATCAAGTAAAAATGGAAAAAATATTTTTATTAGTGGTTTATAATACTAATATAGTTATATTTGTATAAAAAATTATACAAATATAAATATATTTTTAATATTTACTACAATGACGCAAATAATAAATAAATATCAAGTTATGAGACGGAGAGAGTATTTTTTATGTAAATTATAAAAAATTGTATAAATAATATAAAAATAATGAGTCTGTGTAATATATTAATTTTTTTTAAAAAAAAATTGGTTTTTGAGTGTTGAAAAATCTTTAAAATAATAAATTTTAATCAAAATAATTATGTGAGGTAATATATTTATAATATTAATGTAATTAGTTGAATATATCATTAATTGTTAATATAATATAAAAATAAAAATATTTAATTTTATATTTAATTATTTATATATATATAAATAGTAAAAATTGGATCCAAAATTTAAAAAAAAAAAAAGAAAAAAACATCACACACGTCCCTTGGAATAAAATAAAATAAAATAAAATAAATATATATAAGTTCAAATTCCGATCCCTTCGAATGTGTAAGTTAGTTCCTATATTATAAAATAATAGTACTATGTATATATATATTGAACTATTGTAATATGAATGACTTATATAAAATTATACTCCCTTTGTTTACTTTGGTTATAATTTCAATAATTTTTTACCATTTCATCCTTAAAAATATGATTTTATATTTTAAATAGAAAACCCTTCATTTAAATAAAAGTTACTGAAGTTTTAATATCTTGAAAAATTTTAAAAATAAAAAATTAAGTATTTGAATATTTTATATGAAGAAATATATGTTTAATATATATATATATATTTTTAAATTACTACAAATAAAAAAATACCAAAAGTAATTTAAAATACATGTAAATTGAGTGCAATAATAAGATATACATACATATATATATATATATATAAAGTTCCCATTTGCGTGATGATCATCATGTCCATTTGCACTATGGGCATTGTTTATAGTCAAAACGCAATTGTTCCCATAACCTAACTTTTTCCAATATTTGTTATTTATACAGCCATCTTTATTATTATTATTCTTCAATAAAAATATAATGGATTTATCTTGTTTGAATTTGAAATTTTAATTTATATTAATTTAAATATATATTATGATTTCATATTTTCTGAAAAAAATAATATAATTTTCTTTTTAAGTTATTACAAAAAATATTTTCATTTTATTTTTAGTAGTAAAACACAACTATTGTATTTTATTTACTATAAAAATAAATCATCATTATTCTTCACTTTATTAAAATTCATACCCAATTAAATATACATAATTTTGGACGAACAAAGATAATACTAGTATTTTTAATTTGAAATCATAAACAAACAAACTCATTGTTTCTCACTACAAAAAATAATTATCAAAATTAATATTTTTTAAAAAAAATCCAAAAATTAAACACACTTAAACATTCTAAAAATCTTACTTATAAATAGCAATCATTCCCTCCTTACTCATCCACACAAAAAACACTCTCCATCCAAATGACTAACTCTTTATACATATTCACTCTTCTCGCCATATTTTCAGCCGCCGGAAAATGGGTTTCCGGCCAGGGCCGAGTAGCGGATGTTGTGACCGATCAATTCTTCAACGGGATTATCAACCAGGCTGCGCCAGGTTGTCCTGGCCGGACCTTCTACAGTAGGTCCGCTTTTCTTCAGGCCCTCGGCTCATTTCCGAGGTTCGGAACTGAGGGGTCGCCGGAAAATGCTAAGCGCGAAATTGCCGCCTTCTTTGCCCATGTCACGCATGAGACTGGACGTAAGGGTTTTCTTCCATTTATTTGAATATATCTACGTGTTCGGAAAAATGTGTGAAAGTATGGTCTCTACTATTTTAGCGATAAATAATTTTTAAAAAAATATAATATATACATATAAATATAAATAGAATATATATATATATTTTGTTTTTCAACCTGAAGATAATAAATGCATGTTAGTATGTGTTTTTGGGATATTTTTAGTATCTTAGCCTGTGAATTCTGTACTGATGTGGTTAAGTCAACATAGTACTGATTTGATAACCAGCATATACTTACACATAGTAAAACATATGTTGAGTTATAATATAACATATGTTGTATTATAAATATGTTGATATATATATAAATATATACTCATTATATAATATATGTTGATCTGGTTAAATCAGCACCATACTAATTTGACCGGATCAGCATCTGATCATGCCTATACATATTATTTGAAATAAAATAATTGTTAGATTTATGATGTCTTGCATAAAATTTAGATGTTGAAAGTAATTTAGCAAGAACATTATTTTGTTTAATTCCATTTGATATTATTATTACTTTAGATGTTAATTGCTACAAAAATATCAAATTAATTGCAAAAATAATTAATAAATAAATGATCGCGAATTTCATCCACAGACATGTGCTCCCGAGTAGAGAAAGACGGCAAGTCTCGAGACTATTGCGACGAGACCAACCGACAATGGCCATGTGTGCCGGGCAAGGGTTATTACGGCCGAGGTCCATTGCAGCTGTCGTGGAACTACAACTATGGTCCGGCCGGGCGAGACATAGGATTCGATGGTCTGAACAACCCTGAAATCGTTGCTAGAGATCCTGTTGTATCCTTCAAGACAGCCCTGTGGTTTTGGATGAGGAACTGTCATAATGCCATAGTTTCCGGACAAGGATTTGGCGCGACAATTCGCGCCATCAATGGACAGCTCGAATGCAACGGGGCGAGCCCGGCAACCGTCACTGCCCGCGTCAATTATTACAAGGATTACTGCGGTCAATTTCGGATTAATCCGGGGGGTAATCTTCGATGCTAGAGAAGATAATTTAGATTGTGCCAAGAACAAATAGTAATGAATAAAAACCTCTACTCCATATTGTATACTTTGAGGTTTGAATAGGGGTGATATCATAGTAGATCGGGTATGTTTGAAATTTTACTCGGACCTGACCCATTTATTTGGATCGGATCTAGTTATTATCGAATTAGGTATGAGTTGGATCTAATAACAAAATAATGTGATAAAATCAAATCCTGAATTTTGTTTCATACTTGAACCCAATAGAACTATCCATAACAATAATAATTAATACTATGAAAATATTACTTTCTTTGTTGGTGATGCTTATGCCATTGTGTAGACATAGAATAATAAATAATATTTATATTTTAATATAAAAATGGGATAGATAAAAATTAAAATGAGTTATTATAGAAAATTTATTAATTAATTAATAAAAATGTGATGCGATAAGTAGAAAAAAATAATAACAAAATTGGATTTGATTGTCTTTTTTTATTATTTTAAATAAAAATGCTATCATATTAGAATATTAATTAATACTATATTTTTTTGTAAATATATACTGATTTAACTCGATCAACACATAGTCGAAGCAAAAGTAATACTACTTCTATAAATAAATAATAGTATTAGAAACCAAACAAAATATTATAAAATATAGTATTAGAAATTATACAAAATAGTTAAAAAAAAATATATAAGTAAAAAGAAAACACACACAACAATATTATATATATATATATGTATATATATATTTTCGATAAATTACAAGAGTGATTATTCGAGAGGTTCACATGATATACTAAAAACACTTATAAACTCCACCATTTTATTCATCACCATGTCTTCATCGGACAATCTCTCTCCCTCTACTTAACACCGGAGATTGCCGCCGCCGCGGTTAACTCCGAAACGACTGCAATAGTTCATGTAATAATTAACATGAGCAGCGACCGTTGCCGGATTCGCCCGTTGCATTTGAGCTGTCCATTTATGGCGCGAATCGTGGCCCCGAAACCTTGTCCACTAGTAATGGGATTATGACAATTTTTCATCCAGAACCAAAGGGCTGTCTTAAAAGATATGACTGAATCTCGGGCCACAGTGTCGGGATCGCCAAGACCATTGAACCCGATGCTCCGGCCAGCAGCGCCGTAGTTGTAGTTCCATGTCAGCTGCAGGGGACCTCGGCGGTAGTATTTTTTTGTTGGATATTAAATATATGAAAGATGAAGATGAAAGGACTTTGTCCTACATTGAAAATAAAAAAATTCAACCTTCCGTATATTGTCATTGTTATCAAATTTATTTAAATGAATCAATGAGATATTGAATTTGGGCCATGAGTGAGCTAGAGTGGCTTGGGCTTATCTAGCTCAATTATATTAAATGTCAAGATAGGGAATAATAAAATTTGAAACATATATAATTGGAGGCAATAAAATCAATTTTATTTGACATAATATAATAGTTGGTATTTAATTTATAATCTAGGAACTTTTCAAGAAGTCAAAATATACAAATTAATCTTATTTTATCTACATATGTCTTTTTCTAGAATGATTGGGGGATTATTGTAAATCCATGCATGAATCATGGCGCAAAGTCTTCCTTCTTGAATTTACTTATTAGTTAGATAGTATTTTAGGTTTATATATTTTTAAATGGAAAATTGTATTATAAAATATACTCCATATTTTAAATAAATAATAATAATTTGAAATCAAATTTGACGAGCTCGTTGAATTGGTTTAGTCTAGTCACTTTAAGGAGGAATGAGCCCAAAGACTTATTATTATTATTATTATTATTATTATTATTATTTATAATGTGAAAATCCGCAGCCGCTATTCGAAAATGCGCATTGGATAAATTTTCGGCCGAATTTAATACCATACAAACTAGGTCCTCTTGCCATAGGTTATTCTGTCCTCATCTTAACATTTTTAATATTGAATTTTATTATCTAAAAATTTAGAAAACTCATATTTTAAACTAAATTTAGAGAGTATGTAAAAAGTTACAAAATAAAATAATATTTTCAAAAATTAAGTACGAACTTTTTACGCTCTTGTAGCAAAAAAAATATCGAATATTAGAAAAAAAAAAAGAGCTTTGAATATAAATAAGTATTGAATATTTTATATTTAAAAAAGAATATACTATCTTCATCTGGTTTTAAGGGTCACATTTAGTTTATGTTAGTTTTGGATATTAATTAATATAACAAAATATAGTACAAATAAATAGAAAATGACAAAAATACTTTAACTAGTGTTTTATAATACTAATATAATGACATTTGTATCAAAAAAAAATTATACAAATAGAAGAATATTTTTAATATTAAGTACAATAACACAAAATATAAATATAACTCTTAGATAGCGAAGGGATTATATTATATAGTTATTTATATTGTTGGCCCCGAAAAACAATTAACCCACACGGCAGCAATATCTCACCACCAAGAACACGCACAACAGCAACAAACTTAAAAAAAAAAAATCAACTCAGAAAAATCCCTCAACACAGACTGGTTGTTCGTTGGACGATCGAATTGGGAATGAGCATACTGGTGACGAAAAATAATAGAAACACAACGAAATGATAATCCAGTTCAGTCATCAATGACCTACATCTGGGAGGTTCCAACCCAGACCCATGCTAAACTCACTACTGAAACCATTGAAGCACATGATATATAGATACAATTGAGCTACACACTCAAAAATCTATCTCTCTATTTCTTTATGATTTTCCCAACTCAACCTATCCCACAAACCCCTCACTCTCAATGTTTGATATTTCTCACACACTTCTTTCTTTCTGATTATGTTGCTTATACCACATTTCCACACATTTTCATAATCTAACAAATTTTTCTTACGAATTCCCACTTACCCATCTGTTGAAACCGAATAGATTCTTTCTGTTTCACTTGCAGGACACCTCAGCACCTGGGCTACACTCACCATCATCAATTCGTTTCTAAGACACAGGCTAAATGGACCTATGACAAAGGCCCAGTCTTCAATTAAAATGACGAAGGCCCAGTTCTCAATTGAAATCCATCTGTTGTCCAGACTGCCTGCCGACATCAACCAAAATCCAAACAAACGACCGATAACAATATATATATGTATATATATAATTAAAAAAATGGGATTTAAGAACAAGCAAACACCAGAAATCCGAATGGTCAATTCTTGAATTCTTCAGTAGATAATAATGCTAAATATAAAAAGCTCTTTGTGCCATAAGATATGCTAAGATTAGTTGTGCCACTAACAATATTCAAAGATTGTTGTTATTATGTTGGCTCGACTTTGATTTGAACTTGGCTTTGAAATGTTGAAGTCCATTCAACAGTCGACAATCATCGAGGATAATGGCAAAATAAATAAATGAATAAATCATCTTGACTAGCTACAAGATGTGATTATTGTTCCATAATTTATGTATATTATAATGTATATATTATACATAATTTAAGTGTTTTATTGATTATTTCAAATTAAAAATATTATTATTCAATGATGCAGTGTTTTTTAATAAAAATATATACTTTTTTTTTCTTATAAAAATCATATTAAAATTCTGTCTACAATAAAATTTAAATAAAAGAGAAAAACTCAAACTTCAACAAAAACATAACAAACCCTAATTACAGCATAAACTTTTTTATTCAATTATGTACATATATCGAAATGTTATATATATGTTAAATATATTTTAATTTAAATTATTATATTTCATTGTCTTATCGAAACTATTAAATATTCCCTTTTTAAAGGTCTAAGAGTCTCATTTTTACATTTAAAATAAACTTATATTTGTATAATTGTTTGCACAAATTTTATTATAATAATATTATAAGATACTGATATAAGTATTTTTACTTTTTTTTTCTTTTGATTTGTACTACGTTTTTATACAATTATTAATTTTTAAATATCAATATGAAAAAGTAAATGAGACCTTTAAAGTCGGACAGAGGTAGTATTAATTTTATTTTAGTACTAAAAAATTCAAGTTCATAACATCAAACAAGCTTGCCCTTAATATTTGCTGCTATAGTGTTTTTACAGAGAATGAAATTATAATTCACACATATTTTCTAGAGTTTAGATTTTCTTTTATGTTTTCATTTTGTTAGTTCAAACAATAGTTTTAATATGATGTTGTTTATATGATAAAATATTATTATTTTTTATTTTTATAAAAATGTTATGATAATTGTATTTTTTAAAAAAAAATTTAAATCAAACTTCGAAATAATTGAATATTAAACTAACAAAAAGTTAGGCCTAAGATTGATTTGCCTAAAATCTTTATTTTCTAAACATGAGACAATTAATATTTGGTAATTCAAAGGGTAATATATAGAATAAATGCATGTAATAATGGTTGTACGAAATGTTTTGAATATTTGTTAAGGCCTTTATTCATTTATTTATTTATTAAGGCCTAATTTGTTTAATTACTCAATGCTTGAATTTTTATTTTATTTATATATATATTTTTATGACCATTAAATGAATTTGATATTTTAAAAATAAAAACTAATTGACTACAATAATATCTTTAAATAAAATAAAATATAGTACTCTCTTCGGTAACACTTAGAATTTTCTTTTTTTTATAACGTTAAGGTATACAATTTTTTTTTAGTAATTGTAAATTCTATTATTCAATACAATTATTTCTATTTTATTACATATTTATCATTATACCATCACTTTTATATTAAAAATTAAGAATAAAATTATCTTCTTTTTTTAAAAAAATTTTGCGCCGTTAACGCGGAACAGAAAAAGTATTACAAGTAATATTATTGTGTTTATTTTTATTTATTATTCATTAATATTCTTCAATAGATCACAAGAGTGATTATTCAAGAGGATCACATAATACTAAAAATCAAACACACAACAATTCATCGATCTCAAACTAATCTTGAACTTGAGGTTTTATTCATCACCATGTCTTCATCTGACAATCTCTCTCCCTCTAACATCGAAGATTACCACCGGGATTGACTCCGAACCGACTGCAATAGTTCGTGTAATAATTAACACGGGCAGTGACCGTTGCCGGATTCGCCCCGTTGCATTCGAGCCGTCCATTTATGGCGCGAATCGTGGCCCCGAAACCTTGTCCACTAGTAATGGCATTATGACAGTTTGTCATCCAGAACCACAGGGCTGTCTTAAAAGATATAACTGCATCTCGGGCAACAATGTCGGGATCGCCAAGACCATTGAACCCGATGCTCCGGCCGGCAGCGCCGTAGTTGTAGTTCCATGTCAGCTGCAGGGGACCTCGGCCGTAATACTTTTTACCGGCTGCGCACGGATAATCTGCTCTGTTCTCGCAGTAATTTTGGTTCGCGCCTCCGATCTCTTCTCTGTAGCACATGTCTGCATTCGGACATTTTGCGAAATTTGTCAATTTTCTTTTGCTTTGTGTATTGTGATCTTATGGTATGTTATGTGCCACCTTTAGTATTGATGTCTTATGCGAATGAAATTGTTCGTAACTCACATGTGGTTTAAAAAATTTGCACAATTTTCCTTTGTAATTTAAAAGTACAAAAAAGTTTCATGTAATTTTTAGAGGATTTTGAGCAATATTTTTAATATACGACGAAGTTTGGTACAATTTCTAAATTAAATAGAACAATGGTGCAGACATTTTAGACGCAAGTGGATTATAAATAATTTTGCCTTCATTTTATTATCTTCATTGAGGTATTTCGATCCTATTTTGAAATTTTAGTGTAATATTATTCGTTCTTTTTTCTTTTTTTTTTTCAATTTAATCTCTAAATTTTCTAACTAACATATTGTATTAGTAACTTTTTTATATGTGAAATATCATATCTAACTCTTGTTTTATCTAAGAATGTTAAGAAAGCAAATTCGTAATTTTGTCTTCATTTTCTTATTTTGGTATAATTACATGTTGAAGTATGTAATGTAACTGTCATAATAAAATAATAATAAAAAAAAAAAGTCAGCGTCTTTTTAATGCATGTGTAGAGAATTCTTGTAAATGTACTATTTCCTGAAGAATATAAAATATGCTTTAATAAGTTTATACAAAAAAAAATGTCATTTTAAGAAAACTAAAAATAAAAAATAAAAATCATATTTTGAACGACAGAGGAAGTAATATAAACATAATAACATAAATGTATTTACTATATTGGATTCCAAATAATTATTTAACTCGATGCCCAAAAATTTTGTTACGCGTCCAAAAAATACACTAAAGAATTATCGAACACTTACGTCCGGTCTCATGTGTGACATGGGCGAAAAACGCGGCGACCTCCTGCCTCCGGACATCATTGGATCCCTCATTAGCGAAATTCGGATATGACCGAGCGGCCTCAAGAAAAGCCGCCCGGGTGTAGAAGCCCCTTCCGGCGCAATTTCCCGGGGCTTGATTGATTATGCTATTAAAAAAGGCATCGGTAACGATACTAGCAAGGGAAGTCGGGGTGGATGGGGTTGGGGTTGGGGTGGACGGGGGCCGGTTGCACGGCCCCTCACGGCAGCCGTCGCCGCAGTAGTCATTGCCGAGGCCGCAATAGCCCCAGCGGCTGCAGCAGAGGTTGCGCGCCGCGCAGCCGCAGTTCTGGCCGGAGACCAATTGGCCGGCGGCGAGAAGTACGGCCAGAAGGGGGAGGAAATACTTAGCCATTTTATTTAGTGGTTAAATTATGTTGAGTTTGATGAATTGAAGAGCAATGAATGTGGGGTATTTATAGGGCAGGTTTTGGGGAGATTTTATTGATTTATGAGATTGGAAAAAGTTTGGCAGAGGGATTATTATTATTGATCTTGACTTTGAACAGGAAATTGATATATAATATTATAATATAGAGATATATATGTACTGTATATATTCCAACACTACTACTAGAAAGTTGATGGCTATGTTTGTTAAATGTTGTACTACGTCGTCCATCATCTTGACTTGGTCATTGTAAATAAATTACTAATATTTAATTATACTATATGTATATATAATATGTAGGATTAAAATCATTTTGAAAGATGTGTTTTATAATAGTATATATAATTTTGATATAAATTTTTTAAATAAAAATTTATATAATACACTAAATTAATTAATTAAATACTTATTAATGACTAAGGTAAATTAATATTATGAAAAATTAGTTTTTTTTTTTTTTTTTTTTTTTTTTTTTTTTTTTTAATGACGTAGGAATACGAAGCCGATACTAGATGCGCATTCGGTAAACCCCGACCGAACCTAATATCATACAAACTAGGTCCGACAACTAAGTCACACTAGGCGAACCATATGTGACAGATGACCTGAAACGTTGGGGTTCATTAATTAGTTTTGAAAATATATTTATTGAAGGGAGAGAAATAGATGATTTTATAATTAGTGTTTATTAAACTAGCTCTTTGAGAGAACTTCTTTTGCTCTACAAGCTAAATTTTTGAAAAATTATACTCGTTCCGGAACTATAGTCTTGGTTGTGTTGGGCAAGAGATCTAAGGAATATTGATACTAGATTGACAGTGGATAAAAAGTATATGTAAAAGACATTTTTGCCCTTGTAATTGTATAATAATAATAATAATAATAATGAAAGAGTAAGGGTAGTTATATAGTGATATGATTATTTATGGAAATAAGACTATTGTTTTGGGACGGACAAAAATAGTAAACAAGACTATTGTATTGGAACGGAAGGAGTATATGCCAATGCATTATATTATCATTTTGATTCTAGTTAAAAATTCTTTTTTTTTTTTTAATTTATATTTTCCCTTACATATCATATTACTACATTATGCATTTTTAAAAGTATTTTTGTGTGATTCTTATAACATAAAAATAAGACGGCTATTAAGGTGCTAACGAGATTAAATAGCACCATACTGATTCGATCAAATTACACCACACACCGTCAAATGATAGAATAACGAGTTTTGTAAATATGTGAGATATGTTTTTATTAGCGAGATAAATATATGATAAAAATAATAATAAGATATACATGAAAGATGTCTTTTGCAATTTTCTCGGTTGTTACCTATTGCACAATATAATTATATTTCTAAGGGAGGATGAATGTATAGTCTGTTCAAACAAAGACATTTCATGATCTGAAATGGCCATATTAAAAAATATGGAAATGAAATTTCAGCATAAGAAAGTGATATCCAATACAATTTTATGTACCAAACTTTCAAAATGACACCAATAAAAACTAGCTACATAAAAGTGCCACATCATGTGCATGCACCCACACAAACAAATATATGATTAAACAAATATATATATATATATATATGCTTAAACAAGTCCGTAAATAATGGCCTAGTCTTGTGGGATGAATTCGTAATCGTGAGGTCATAGATTCAAACACCGATGCCTCCAGATATAATTTGTCATACATGATTCGTCTAATGTGATTTGTTTTATCGGATCTAGTTTGTAGAGTGCACCTGAAAAACAACAGCTGTAAATTTCCATATTATCAAAAAATATATATCTTTTTTTAACCAAGATAGCTACAATTCTTAAGGCAATGATAAGTCCTTTTGAGAATTAGTAGCACCTTTCGGATCAATACTTACTTGATGCGAGGTTCTAAATTGTCTCGACTTGTAAAATAACCTTAATGCTCGTAAACTGGATACAAGCCTTCACCAATGCAAACAAATGGAGATGCAAACCCCTTTTGCGGAACAATATGTTTTCGCCTAAGTGCTACCATAAGCGAAGTTCCAATGTCGACATGAACTACCTGCACACCGGCACGAGCTATGTAACCTCCGACACGATCTTTTAGATAGACTTGCCATTCCTCTTAGACTCACGAATACGACATTTTACTCCGAGTGAAATCTTTCTCTCCAAATGTTGATCCTGTGACCTACGCAGCCAGGAAGAAAATCTATACCGATCGATACCTACCTATTAATGAAGATGGATAGCCGCGATGTTCTTGAAAGTTATGCGAGTTGCAACCGCTACAGCTAACTAATTGCTATCCTAGAAGTTTATAAATATCGTCCATATTATGTTGTAATTTACACTACATACACAGAGTTACTTGTATTCACTGTCTACTCTACATTCCTTCATAGTTCAACTGTAAGAATCTCTTTTTATTAGTTTAGTGTGGTGATCAAGGAACTTTTATGGAGATTCTTCACCCCGACCACCCATTTCTACCACCGAAATCATTTTCCTGTGATATTTGACTTGTTTTTCCTTAGATATAATTTAGAATAATTTACTCCCTCCGTCCCAGATACCGTGTCTGCTACACTGTAGACACGGTATTTTAGGAGGGGTGTAATTAGTAGATAATTAATAATGTATTAGTAAAAATAATTATCTTATAATATAAATAATTATAAATTAAGATTAAGATAACTAATTAATTTAATTAAAATTAAAAAAAATTAAAAATTTAAAATTAGATTAAAGTGTGTAATCATTTTCCAAAAAATGAAAGTGACATGGCATGTGGGACGGACAGAAACGACAACATGGACATGGTATCTGGAACGGAGGGAGTACTATATTTTTAGAAATAAATTATTGTTATTCTTATTTGTTTATTTGATTCACACAGTATTCATATGTTCACACTTGAGTATGTTTAAATTAAACTTTTTGTAAGATTGTGGAATGGCATAAATAGGCTAACATTCATGTCTATGCTCGTATCGCACTGTTAACCGATTGTAGGTAGTTCGTAGCAATTAAGTACATGAGAGGCTTGTCGAACTGTTTAATCTGTAACTGAAATTTAATCTATACTAGTAAAAACCGTTTAAGTAAATTCCATGATACTTCATTCTATTAAATTTATATTTTAATTGTGCATTTAATTCGGTCTTTTACTCGTACCATTGATTGCACTATGAGTATTTTTTGAATTTTTTCGCAACTTAAAATTTCTAAAATTTGACCTAGAGACTCACTCAATCGAAAGAGTATAAAATTTATCTTTGATACGACTAAAGTAATTGCAATTTTGATTTCATTTTATTCAATATTTATCGTCATATTTAAGTCCTGAACACAAACTATGATTTTCTATTCACATACCCGTGTCACCCATCAATCCTTATACCACTCAATATCACATATAAATCAATTAAAGTCGAATAATTAAATATATCCTTATCAACATCCTTAAACCTGACTATTGTGCCTTTCATATACATTATAAGTAGGTCACAAATCATATACTTGTCCACCCATATAAGCATACATTATAAGTAGGTCACAAATCATATACTTGTCCACCCATATAAACATAGCGATGGAATCTTGTATATGGTTAGAACTGTAAAACAAACGAACAGTTCGCGAGTTCGGCTCGGTTCGATTTGTTTGAATTCGCTAAAAGCTCGTTTGTTAAGTTAAAGTCGAACACGAATATAAATTTTGGTTCGTTATGTTCACAAACGAGCTCGAGCTTGTTCGCGAACGTTCGATAGTATTTATTAGGAAAATTAAATTAATAATTTTTTATTTAATAAGTATATATATCTTTATAAAGATTATATTGCATTCTATCTTTTATTTAAATTTATTAATAAAAATTATAATTATTATTAGCTAAGTTTAATTTTTTTTAAAAATTAAATAAATAAAATAAAATTTCTCTTAACGAGCCGAGCCGAGCTGAACACGAACAAAAAAATTGCTAAACGAGTCGAGTTCAAACAAAAATTTCAGCTTGCATCTCTTAACAAACGAACACGAGCCGAGCTCGAATCCTTAACAAGCTGAGCTCAAACATGACAAGCTCGACTCTAGTCGGCATTTTTACAGGTATTTGCAATAGATAACAAATATTGAAACATACCCGCATCATAAGTCCTAACAAAAATACTAGTATATTGAATTAAAAAATTGTTGTATACTATGAATTAAGTAAAAAATGGTAGAATTTTAGATTGAATAATAGTAGTATATTCAGCATATCCCACCACAAATATATATATATATATATAAGTAATATTGTCCAACCACAAATGTACTGTATAGATTTGAATAGTAAAAATTTTGAATTCAAATAGTTGTATAATGTGATATAAATGTGTTTAATGTGATATTTTGAATGTAAAATTGATTTTTAGTATAATATAAAAAATGAAAAATAGGTATTTGATTTGATATTTTTGGGGAAAAAAATAGGATGAACAGTGTATTAAAAATCCAATCTCCAAACAAACATTTGTAATGTCTGGGGTTTATATTTTGTAATGATTATATTGAAAAAAATCATTATTTTATTAAAAAGTAATATGTTGATGTGATAGTTTGAATTAGATGATATCTAAATACTCCCTCCGTCCCCGGAACTATAGTCTTGGTTGTGTTGGCACGGGATTTAAGAAATATTAATATTATATTGATAGTGAGTAAAAAATATAGGTAAAAAACATTTTTGCCTTTACGAGTGTATTAGCGTAAAAGGTAATGACAATTGTGTAATAATAATGAAAGAGTAATAGTAGTTATATAGTGATATGATTATTTAAAAAAAATAAGACTATTGTTTTGGGATGGACAAAAATAGTAAACAAGACTATTGTTTTGGAACAGACAAAAATAGTAAACAAGACTATTGTATTGGAACGAATGGAGTATTATTTAAAAAAATTGTGAGTAGTAATTAAAAGTAATGTTTAATTTGATGGATGTGAATAAAACTAAATATTAATTTAATT